ATATTACCTGACCAAACACCACAATTACGACCCCGCAGGTGATGATGGAGTGTAGTGAAGAGGAACATTACAGGTCTTGAGTATAGAAGGTACTGACGAAAGAGGTACTGACGAAGGAGGTACTGACGAAGGAGGTACTGACGAAGGAGGAACTGACGAAGGCGGTACTGATGAAGGAGGTACTGACGAAGGAGGTACTGACGAAGGAGGTACTAACGAAGGAGGTATTGATGAAGGAGGTACTGACGAAGGAGGTACTGACGAAGGAGGTACTGACGAAGGAGGTACTGACGAAGGAGGTAAAGTGAGGGTAATAATAAGACACTCACTCACTCACACGTTGAAACCCTGTGATTAATAATGAGGATGTTCTGATCGCTCTCTCTCTCTCTCTCTCTCTCTCTCTCTCTCTCTCTCTCTCTCTCTTCCTTTTTAATCTCTCTCTCACACACACACCTGCAGCACCGAAGGAGGAGGAGGAGGAGGAGGATGACCCAGGCAAGACGTGGTGATGACAGCACGCCTGGCATTTTTCTCTGGCTATTGTTACTGATATAATTACACACACACACACACACACACACACACACACACACATACACACACACGACGCCAAGGATTATTTTACATTATCACCCACGTCTTCAGGATTTTAAAGGATTACATGACAGTTATTTTGGAGAGGGATTTTTTTTAGGGGATTTTTTGTTTACAGTCGCTCTATAAAACGTACAGGATTTTGTGAAAATTTTATTCAAGGGATTTTAGTTGGGATATCAGGAGAGATTTGGGGATTTTATGGGCCGATTTACTAAGATATTAAAGAGGATTTATTGGTGATTTTTTCTCGATTGGTTTATGTTAAGAAATCATTGTGGGAATGAATTCTGTTGAAAGATTTATAAAGTTATTGATTATTTTTAACTTTTATTTTGTGTATGTTTGTATGTATGTTGTATTTAATAAATGTATACAGACTCTTGTGTATGGGTCACCTTGTATGTGTATTAGTATTTCTTAATCTTTGTTTTTTGTGATTTCCATTTATTTAGTTCGATTTAATTCTCTTTCTACGAAGATTAATACACAACGAGACGATAAGGAGCAGCGAAAGAAGAATCAGTTACAGAAGCAGAAGAAACAAGAACAGAAGCAGAAGAAGCAGCAACAGAAGCAAAAGAAGCAGCAACAAAAGCCAAAGAAGCAGTAACAGAAGCAAAAACAGCAGCAACAGAGGCAACAGATGTAAAAGAAGTAGCAACAAAAGAAGAAACAGCAACAGAAGCAAAAGAAGCAGCAGTAGAAACATAAGAAGCAGTAACAGAAGCAGCAACAGAAGCAACAAAAGCAGGAGGAGGAGCACAAACAGCGGGCAGGTGCGTGAAATAATTCCTCCTCCACCGTCACTCTTTGCCTTCGGGTAATTGAAGAAGACCCAAGGTAATTTATGAGTCCAATCACAATGGTGGTGGTGGTGGTGGTGGTGGTGCCTCTCCCCCTCCGGCCAGCACCATGACACCAGACAACAAGAAGATGGACACTGGAATGGCCATCAGGTGGAGGGAAAGAAGAAAAAAAAATACGAACGTGAGAAGGTGACGAAATAGAGTAGATAAACGGCCCGATGGTGATTGTTGTTGGAGTGTGAGTCAACTGGATGGTGGTAGTGGTGGTTGAAGGTGGTGATTGTGGTGTTGGCTGAGGGTGAATAGTGGTAGTGGCTCTAGGGGTAGTGGTAGTGGCTGGGAGAGAAAGGACATTGGCTAATATGGATGGTGGTAGTGGTGGTTGAAGATGGTGGTAGTGGGGTAAGTTAAGGGAGGATAGGTGCTGGTAGTGGGTGGTGGGGAGGTGGGTGGTAATGGTGGTGTACCTGGTGCTGCTCCTCCTCCACCTCATGACCTGTGCTGGGTACTGAAGGAGGAGGCCGATACCCCGGGAGGAGGGAACTTACAGACAGACAGACAGACAAACCTCACCCTGATACCATCCACCCCCTAAACACAAGATAGTTTAGTTCATCCCCGTGTAGTCCCCAAACAACGCCAAGACAGGCAATCTATCCATGGCGTTCTCTTCCACCCCTCAAAGCCAGACGGACATTCACCCACCCACATCAGCTCTCTTATAGCAGTACCATATGACACTCAAGACGCAGGTATATAAAGCAGCCTGTGTTATGTATTTCCAGTGATACAACGTGGGTACTATACAAACATCAAAGGCAGCTAATTGTAGAAGACAGTGATGGATAAGAGTAGTGTAATTAACCAGAGATCCATGGCAAGGGTGAACCAGAACTACGAGTGAGCTAAGTGTCCCTGGTAGTGGTCTGAGGAGGTGGTGAGGGGGAGAGGGGGTTAGTATTGTGTGGTTGGTTCATGGTAGAGAGACGCAGCACAAAGGGGGCGTCACTGGTCTGGCTGCTTCTCGCCCCACCAACACGGGGGTGAATGCTTTTCTTATGGCCACTAGTGTTCTGACTCACCTCCACGCCTCTTTCACTCACTCACACACTCCCTTCCTCTACCACGCCTACCACGCCCTCCCTTCATTTACCTACATTCTTTCCTCACCTCCATACATACACACAGAGCCCCCTCCACACACCCAGCCCCCTCCACACACACACAGACCTCCATACACAGCCCCCTCCACCCACACACAGCCCTCCACACACACAGAGCCCCCTCCACACACCCAGCCCCCTCCACACACACACAGACCTCAACACAGCCCCCTCCACCCACACAGCCCTTCCACCTGCCTAATCACTTCCCTACACCGAAAACAACAACACGGGTATTGGTTGAGTTTAAAACCTCAGGTAAATAAACGGTGGATAATTTGCATACTTATCCAAACAGGTAAACTCACATTAAATACTTTTTTCTCCGAGTCTCTTTTTTAACCTCGACGGAGCGTTAAACCGACTTACGATCACTCCCTTCCCTCTCTCCCTCCAGATAGTGAATGAACAAGAGGGTTACTTTTTACATAAGACCTACGGAAGTGCTATCGAAAAGTTCCACGTGTGATTATTTTTAGATCAGAAGTTTGGTTAAAAAAATGTTTCGTGAGCTGATGGTATATATAAAAAGATTGTGTTTGTGTTCTCTCTCTCTCTCTCTCTCTCTCTCTGGTTGAATGGCAGTGCAGTGTTCAGTGGAGTCATTGAAGGTGAACTTACACGATATCAGTCCAGCTCACTGTTGGATCAGCTGCAGGAAGACTTCACCCTCTCCTACATTAAGAAAAGTTTATGGTCTGTGTGTGTGTGTGTGTGTGTGTGTGTGTGTGTGTGTGTGTGTGTGTGTGTGTGTGTGTGCGTGTGTGTGTGCAGACCCATTACTATTTAATTAAACTCTATCATTACAACAAGACGTATGAAATCATTAAAAAACAATAAATTACCCTTAATTACAATACTACTGTAGGTAATTCCTCCCAAGGTTAATGAACCGTAAATTGTAGGTTCACCTGTAATAACTCACACAGGTAATTAAAGTTATTAGCATACAGGTAAATTTGCCCTGTACACGGCCTATCATGAGAGGAAGGAGAGAGGCACGGACGGTCATAACACCACCAACTACCAACTACTCTCATGCAATTTAACAGTTCTCACGTTAAGTCGTCCCGGAAATTATATCATATATGATTGATTATACTTAATTTGATCTTTCTAAAATCATTAAGGGTCATATTGTTATTATTTATGACGTATAATTTGCCCTGGAGTGTATCACGAAGAGGGCGAGTGTGTCACGGTGCCTGAGAGAGTGCTTAAGATTCACTCTGCGATGACGAACTGCCTTAAGGGACTCGTTACAGTGATTTATCGTCCATAATGAAACAGATGTCAGGGACTTTAAATACTTGGGACTCATCAAGAACTATTTAATCTCTATCTAAAAATCTTGAGTTATTTATAAAGAAAATTTGTTTAGTAGTTTAACCTCTTGTGAGTTTCCTGCAGTGGACAGGTATTGGGTGTGGACGTGATTCGTAAGGGAAGTATGTTGTCAGTGAGACCAAAAGAGAATCTGATAATAGAGTTGTAAGCGACCAACATTTACCCGCGGGAGATAACTTACGGGATTGCTGTTATTTTTATTTATTTTTGTTGATTCTGTTGCTGTTATTGTTGTTAGTTTTTCTTGTTGTTGTGTGGAAGCTCGATGACGCAGCTCGGGTAATTAAGGTAACATAAAGGGTAGTTATCTCAAAGACTTTTCACTCCTCTCCCTCATCCCTCTCTCCCTTCATCCATCACTCCCCCCCCTCCCTCATCCCGCTTTCTTTGGCCAGGTTCTCGAATGCGAACTAAATAAGGACATTAAGTTTCTCCTTTCATCGTTGACACATCTGAAGCTGCCGACCGATCGCCTCATCCATCTTGTCGTTCTGTCAGTGTCTGTGCTGCTCATCGTAGTAAACTGTTTACCTAGAGGCCGTGAAGCTCTACTGAGTGGTCTTAGAGGTCGAGAGTACAAGAGTAGCGACGAGTAGTGGAGAGTTTGAGGGTATTTCCAGGTATAGAATAAACAATACAAGAGAGATGTCTTTTTTTACAGACTTTGAATGGCACTTATCACTCACTGGCTACCACTGTTATGGTCTCGTCTTAACGCCTTCATACCGAGAGTCGAACTTTTTTTTTTAACACTCCAAATTAAAATATTTCAATGAATAAACTTTCGATTTTTTCTCAGTATTGTATGAAGACAAAATGATGTGTGAAGAATATACAAAAGTGTCATGTTCATCCATAACACAACTATGATATGTCTCCTCTTATATATAAACTGTGGACATCTTAGTATGTTAAAGGAATGTCGTCACGTTTTAATATGTACAAGAAGACTTCATATATCCGAAGACATAAACACACTCACAGGGACCACAGCCACGCCAGGGTTACAGAACAAGATCTAGAAACATCAGGTAAACCTAAATAATAAACTTCAAGTAAGAATCACAAGGATCTCATGACCTACCTGCAGGGGAACTCCTGCTCCAAAAGGCAAAGGACCTCGCATTCCTGACGGCTGGCGACGCGGCTGTTCTTCTTTGTGAAGCCATCCAACTCAAAGCCCATCACTCTTTCGAAGCTCCAGGCTCTGTCACATGCCGGGGCGTTATTGAGACAGTTCTTCTGCACGTAGAGGGTGAACACCGGGAACTGTGAGGAGGTGAGTGCTCCTGTGGAAGGAGAGAAACACCAGTGTCAGCTAGGTCCCAAGTGTCTGGTATTGTAATTATGTTTGTGAGGACGGCACCTTCAGAAGGGCCGCTACCTCGATAAACAATATATTATTATATATGTATTGTATTATGACACTTAGAATGACTCCATTAATCAGATCAGTGACATTAAAAAAACAAATAATTACTGTAAACTTGTACCTTGAGTTAATTAAGATACAGATAATGAAGACAAAGGTAAAATACAAAAAATACCTGTACAATGACAGCAATTAACAAGAATAAGAAATCCCCATGAAGTAAAGTATAGTAGAGAATGAAGAAAACTTTATATAAACAGCCCCATCACCTATATACTGTACCGACAAAACCTTTAACATACTCCTAAGTTCATGATACAAACACAAAACACAAACCCCCACATTGGCTCTTCAGTTAACATTTTAATCTATTCCAATAACACCCGAATATAAGAACCAACTTCAGAATCTTTTAAAAAATACACAAGTCTCTTTAAAGTTCTTCATTTCTTTCTTTAATCGACAATAAAGTTTTAGATGATCGTGCGAGATACATCAACACACACTCATCAGGAAAATATGACCACAGGAGCACAATAATGACCACCAGAAGGTAATTAGCGTACAAGTGTGGGCATAAAAACTTCTGAATTACAACTGCGACGATATGAAAAAAATTGGTGATTATTTTCGTGTTATCGTGAGTCACTGGAATATGGAGAGAGAGAGAGAGAGAGAGAGAGAGAGAGAGAGAGAGAGAGAGAGAGAGAGAGAGAGAGAGAGAGAGAGAGAGAGAGAGAGTCATATACCAGGTACAGCCATGAAGCTCCTGTTGAGAGGTCGAGGTTTTATCGGTAATCAAGTCTCCAGGTGTAGCCGTGCAAGCTGAGGGTGTAGTGTATGTGTAAGTGTGTGCACGAGCCTCACGAGCGTTTGTGTGTACGAGCGTGAGTGTGTGCACGAGCGTGGGTGTATGCACGAACGGTGGCGTTAGCACTTAGTGAACACTGAGGAGGAGGAAAAGGGGGTGTAGGAGGAGGAGGAGGAGGAGGAGGAGGAGGAGTAGGAGGCATGAAATTTCTGCTTCATGCGGGCTTCTTCACGCTCCTTGACACCTCCTCCTCCACCTCCTCCTCCACCCTCCTCCCACCAACCTTTCTCACCTGCCTCCACCCCTGCTCTCCTCAATAGCCCACCAGCCTTGGGTAACCTTGCGAAGAATGTTAAACGCCCGTGCGCCACCCACACCACTGCTGCTCTTCACCCCAGCATTTGTTTCCCCACTTCACCCTTTTTCCTCATTCTCTTTTTCCATCTCTACTACACATACGTTTATCCTATTCCTTCTTCTACTGTTTCTTCCTTTCCAACTATTCCCCCACCATCGTTATATCCAGTTATTTCTTCTCGTGTTGCTTTCTCCATCTTTATCTTCCTCACCTTGATCTCTCTTTCTTCTCTTGTCTACCTCTATCTCTTCCTCTCCTTCTTTACCTTCTTCCTAGTTCCCCATCCTCCATCTTCTTCACCCCTTTCCTCCTTCTCTCTATCATTTATTTACATACTTCTACCTTACTTTGCATTCTCCTCCACCCTAAAACTGGAGCTAGGGAGAATGAAGGTGGAGGGTGGAGGAGGGGGGGGGGAGGTGAAGGGGAGTGAGGGTGCAAGATGGTAGGTGAAGAAGAAGAACAAGAACAGGAAGAACAAGAAGAATATCAATTTCATCTGATAGTACTAATGATAATCTCAAAGGGCAGTACAAAATCAATCACCTCTTCCACTTGTTCTACATCACAACCTCTTGCAGCTCTCCATCAGGTAGTGTGACTCTTCCTGCCTGACGTACTACTGAAGAAATCTCCAATTATCTCGGGTTATAAAGAAGAAAACATCCCTATGATTGTGGATTAATATCGACCTTCTGTACTGGTGTCATTACTGTCAGGTTTGTGATATTTTGCTCAATTTGCTTCGGTAGAAATGAAAAAAAAAAATAAAATAAATAAATAAAAACATAAAATAAATTGGTTACCAGAGATTGTGTTGTGTTTTTACGAGTTATTAACGTGTGTCTGTTACCTGGCCTCATGTTGGGTTAATTGTTATTTACAGTTATTAGGTGTAAGTAAGTGAAATCATCTTTTGATGTTGGTAAGTTAATTAGGTGCATAGCTTCAGGTACAGTAATTTTGTCACAGTCATTCCACCGTTACTCACATCTGTATCAAGCGTTACTCACACCTGTATCAAGCGTTACTCACACCTGTATCAAGCGTTACTCACACCGGTATCAAGCGTTACTCACACCTGTATCAAACGTTACTCACACCGGTATCAAGCGTTACTCAAACCTGTATGAAGCGTTACTCACACCTGTATCAAGCGTTACTCACACCTGTATCAAGCGTTACTCACACCTGTATCAAGCGTTTTTCACATCAATAACCACAATTACTGTATATCTCTTACAACAACCATTACTACTACTATTACTACAATTACTACCACTACTACTTCTACCGTCACCTGTTGCAAAATGCAGTCCTTATTATACTTCATTCATAACATTCTTCCTTCACTCCTTATTATCGTATCTTCATTCATAACATTCTTCCTTCACTCCTTATTATCGTATCTTCATTCTTATTCTACTTCCTTCATCTCTCTAATTATTTTCTTTCATCTTAATTCCCTTTCTTTTCTTCTACTACCTTCAAGTCTACTTATTTCACTGTTCTTCTCTTCAATAAATATAATACTTATTTGTTTCATACTAAAGTCTCCTTATTGTAGACAAATTAGACTTATTTCACACTAAATTACACTAATGTCACGTCAAATCAAATCTGTTTCACGCCAGTTCAGAAATATTTTTACGCCAAATCCTGCTTATTTCACAGTACATCTGACTTAGTTTACACCCATTTGCACCTAATTTACGGCAAATTATATCTTATTTACGCCAAATTCTATCTTATTTCACAGTACATCTGACTTAACTTACACCAAACTCCACCTAATTCGCGCTAAATTCCACCTAATTCACGCCAAATTCCACCTAATTCACGCCAAACTCCACCTAATTCGCGCCAAATCCTAATTCTCTACCACTGTGCTCATTTCAGCAGACATCTCACCTCACACAAGACTAATTCAATTTCGTCACCATTTTAACAGCCACTTTGGAATAAATCTGAGCGTCACTAATCACAAAATCAAGCAATATGATTATTACCCTAACGTTAGTCATGGCCAGGCGCTAAATTTAATTCAGGTTTTTTTTCTGTGTTCATGCTTAATCATATCTACGAGTTGTTGCAATGTTGTTACGTAACTGTCCAATGTGGTGGTGGTGGTGAGGTAGTGTGTGTGTGTGTGTGTGTGTGTGTGTGTGTGTGTGTGTGTGTGTGTGTGTGTGTGTGTGTGTGTGTGTGTGTAGAACGTACAATCGATTTATCTACGTCTTTTTTTCTTATTTCATTCTCAAGTTCGTTGGTCAGAGTGCTAAACCTAACCTCTCTTTCTCTCTCTCTCTCTCTCTCTCTCTCTCTCACACACTTTTTCCTTACGGTCGGTGAAGCTAACCCAAGAAGGCGTATTTATCAAGTATTTATGAGGTATTTCCTGACCTTACTGCTACAGGAAGCTCAGTTGAGGATGTTTTTGTCGTATTAATAGGTTTTTTCTCTCTGTACAATGGATGTGATGGACCGAAGAGGGGATTAATTTTATTTCTTTGAGAACTTTGAGATGTTATTCGCCAGACGATTTTTTTTTGGGGGGGTGGGGGGAGGGGACACAGGATAATGTGTGTTTCTCTATCTATCTATCAATGGAAAACCTTGAATCATAAGTAAAAAAGTAAAAATCATCGATACAAAAGACACTAGTTTTTATCTTCTACGGAATCTATTTTAATAAAGGTTTTAGATCACAAAACAACTGAGCATCGGAAGGGAGAACTTCTTTATAATACTATTGATATCAATTTAAGTACTTTTAAACACGTAATTCGGTATAGAAACGGATAATATGAGAATAATAAACACATCGGTTATAAGAAATTGATTTAATAACCGAATTTTACTTATATATCATGAATCTATTTTATTTCCGATTGTATTTTGCTTTTTTTCCAACTATTATGATATGTGGGAGTCGTCAACAAGTCCCGCTCGATGGCTCCCACCTCCTCGACGCTGTGTTGTGTTTACCGTCCGCCATCGTGGATTTAAGAGCACCTGGTCATGATTACTAATGTGTTGGAAAATGTTGTTGTATATATCCCAAGGTAAGTAATTCCGGGTCATTATTTATTGTCATATCATCGAGAGAGAAATATATGCAATTTATACAGAAATCCGTTGCCTGTGCCTGTTTGTCTGTCTGACCTTCGCCCCTCTCTCTTTCGCCACGAGACATGCAACGGGATCACTATCTACTGTACCGTTGATATCTCTTGCTGTATGTATGTATGTATGTATGTATGTATGTATGTATGTATGTACTGTATGTATGTACGTATGAGGAGTTGGAATCCCCGGTCAAAGATTATATAATTTTCATTCCATAAATGTCAAAGTTTATTTCGTCTTTTTATGTAGTTTTACTCATTTCTTTTTACGAGAAAATTATAAGAAACTATTTTATGTGTTTTTCATTGACGTTAATCTCTGATAACTTAAGAACGACTTGTGTATAGGAAATTCCCCCCGGGGTGTTCTTCCTGCTACTGCCCCTCCTCCTCCTCCTCCTCCCTGGCCTTCTTCAGAGCGGTAATAGGGGTTAACGCCACCACCACCACCACCTCCTCTTCCTCTGGGTTGTATCTGGCCCTAACCATCACCTCTAACAACACCCACAACTTTCTGCCACGTCACCGCTTGATTACCGTAAACACAGAGATAAAACGTACAGACGGACGGATAATAGTCCCATAATCACCGTCCCCAGAACATCCCCCCCCCAACCCCTGAAAAATTACCCGAAGTGTCTGTTATTATTACATGCGAAAGAACCTCATGATGGTGGGCCGTTGGATATAAACATCACCTCTTCTACAACCTGTTATCTTATCATCCACTTGTTTTCCCCCATCACCTAGGTTATCATTTGGGTGTCATCTTACCCCCGGAGAGAGAGTCATTGTTATCAGCCATTATATCAGGGGGGGAGGGGGAAGTTGTCATTATATCTAGGGGTAAAAGTTTTGGTATTATTTTGAATTTAAGACCAAGATGAAGGGTTAGTTGTTAGTTAAGACCACGAGCTGTTGATATACAAGATACAGTGACTGATTAATTATCTATCAGTGGCTGTGTTGTGAGGGTGTGGTGTTGTGAGGGTGTGGTGTTGTAAGGGTGTGTCTTGTAGGGTGTGGTGTTGTGGGGGTGGTGTTGTGTGTGTGTGGTGGTGTGGTGTTGTGAGGGTGTGGTGTTGTGAGGGTGTGGTCTTGTGGTGTGGTGTTGTGTGTGGTGTTGTGGGGGTGTGGTGTTGTGGGGGTGTGGTGTTGTGAGGGTGTGGTCTTGTAGGTGTGGTGTTGTGGGGGTGTGGTGTTGTGGGGGTGTGGTGTTGTGGTGGTGTGTGGTGTTGTAAAGGTGTGGTTGCTGTGTGGTGAGATTGTGATGCCATGATCCTCCTACAATGTCACTTAACACCATATTTTCTGTCTCCCCGGAGGCTGGCTGGCCGCTTTAACTCACTGCCCCCAGGAGAGTAATTTAATCTCCTAAACTGATTTAATTCCTTTGTTTCGCTGCTTATTACTCAGGGTACCATTGAGAGAGGGAACATCCGTGGTCTTTCGTGGTCTTTCGGACAATGGGATCAGGAGTAGGGATGATTTTTTTTTAAGACTTTATGTAAATCTGACTTCCCGGATGTTGAAGATCCTGGTAGAAGCTGTAATTGACGTCTCACACACACACACACACACACACACACACACACACACACACACACACACACACACACACTCTACAAAGGTTCACCGTCTTGAATAATGACGAACTTCCTACCTGTCTTGGTCTTAAGCTCTACCATCATTACTCCCGTTCTCTTCCGCGTCCTCACTACCGTCTCATCTCCCCCCCCCTTCCATAACCTCTCACACCTCCCTTGCCTCCTCACACCTCTCCCCTTTCCTCCTGTCTCCGCAAAATCATTCTCTTTCTCCTATTTTATATGAAAATCCCTCCTCTTCACCCCTTGTCATTATAATCCTACCAGTATTTCGTGTTTTGATTTCTTATGTCTAATCCTTCGCTAAATTTCTCGCTAAATCCATCTCTTTAAATCACTCTCGTTAAGTCCATCTTTCTTAGTTATTTCCACTGATGCCATCTTGCTAAATCCACTTTATTAGCTCCCTTGAAAAATCTCTCTCGCCAAATGTCATAAAATCCCTTGACAAATCCCTCTACCCAAATCTATCAGTAAATCTCTAGAAAAATCCCTCCAGCTAAATCTGTCATGAAATACCCTGAAAAAAAATTCCTCTCACTAAAATCTGTCATTAAATCCTTCGTCATATTGCTCGTTGAATCTCCAGCACCGTCACGTGAGGCAGGGTGTCCTCTAATGCTCTCGGGTCACGCTTGGCTTCCTGGGCTCCTACGTGAACAGGAACTAAGACAACTCATCTAAGAGGGCTGAAAACATGGCGACGAAGGTAAGCTAAGACTGTACCGAGATATACAAGTGAGTGAAGGTGTTATGACTGTATTTTAGCCTGTGTTTACTGCCATAGTCTTGAGGGAGAAGAGGGAGGGAGGTGTGGTGAGGGAGGAGGGGGAGGTGGGGGTCATAGAGGAGGATTGGCTGGTGAGGGAGGAAGGATGAGAGAGGAGGAGACGTTGGAGGACGGATAGTAAAGGTAGAGGTAGAGAGAAAGAAAAAGAGACACAGAAAAAGAATAAAAAGAAAGACAAGAAATAATGACAACAAAAATAGATGAACGCCTGACGAACATTCGCCCACCTCCCTGCCCCACAATGACGAGAAGATCTTTGGGTGATAAGAGGAGGCACGAGACCTAGGCCAGAGGCGTATCAGGCAAGTGTTCCAGCTGGGGCGGCTACTTGTTTAGTGTTCAGAGCCACGCTAATGGTAGGTTCAAGTGATAAGTGACTCAAGTAGTCACTATACCGCCCACGGCAGCTGCTTCTTGTAATACGTCCTCCCAGGCAGAAATATATTACGTGTGTATGAGAGAGCGAGAGTGTGTGTGTGTGTGTGTGTGTGTGTGTGAGGCGCGCGTGACCAGGCGTGACACAGCACAAGGGGACCGTGACAGCGCCGCGCCACAGAACTAACAATGAGGCCTCCACACACCCCTCACCTCCACGCCTCTCCGCACTGCTGCTGTCCAACACCTCTGGACACGTCACGCCTCTATACGCTCTACTGTAACGCTGTTTACTGTAACGCTGTACTTGTCTTACTGTTACTTGCTTTTACTGTACTTAATTTTTTTCTCTTCAGACAGAGGTGACACCGTCTACGTAAGATAGAAAAGACAGACGATCATACATTCAACATCAATTTATCTACCGTCGTAAAATAAACTTCTCACAGATATTAGATACAAAATGAATTAAGGGAATATGTGAAATATAGTAAATGCAGAATAAACTTGAATAAAAGAGGAGGATGGTTTAAAAAGTAATAATTTAACACCAGAGGGAGTACAATCATTTATCTTGTTCAATATACCCTGTAATTACCATGGCCCGGCGTCTGTATAGTCCGCTAATGACATACTTCGTCACCAAAAAGCTATTGATGGCCTGTAGGGAGATGACCGCAACCCCCCCCCCCCTCCTCCCTCTCCAGCCTCCTCCTTTGGCCAGTCATATCTCCATTCTATTGTCCAGAATAACTGTGACTTCCATTGACTGTGTGGCTCTTGTACTCTGCCGTTCATACTTATATATCTTTAGTGTTGTCTTGATGTGTTTTGAGAGGTGTTAAGGCTAGTTAATTACGTCAGGTAAGAGGTGTATGAGAGATCCGTTAAGAGTGGGGCTTTGTGTGGTGACCTCTATGAACTGCTGGGTCACTCAGGCTTAAAACTGCTATGCCTGGTTAAGGGTCTTTTTGATAGGCTAACAGGGTACTACCTGCTCCCTTTTAACCCTCTTCCAACGGTAACACAAATGCTCATATTATTAACAGAAAAACGGTTACATTCCTCTCAAATATCTGTTAACAGGAGAAGTACTACAAATAACCCCTTCATCACCTAACAGATCTCTTCACCTGACATGATTAACAGGTAAAACCCTTCCAAACATCTACTAACATCAAGAACATCTGTGACAACACGCTGCTAACCTCAACAGTAAACAGAGAGAGTATCTGTTAACAGGGAGGCCCAGGAGTTTCTCACACCAGGCAAGACCAACAGATCAACGACACCAGGTTGAACTCTTGTCTGTTTACACTTGTGACTAGTAAGGAAGATGACTGGAGCCTTTTCCTGCGGGCAACTCCCAAGGCCTTGTTGACATAACTGCTTCTTCTCCTCCTTTCCTACTTCCTGTTCTTAATCCCTTCCTTCCCTACCCTCCTTTCTCTCACCTGCATGGTCCACTACCCCGGACCAGGAGAAGGACCTCTAATATGGTCTAGTGGTTCGTTTAATCTTATTTAATGGTCCATTTAATCTGTTTTTTTCGCTCTAGTGATTGACTTATTCAGGTGTTATAGGTTCTTATCTGAGTTCAATGGTCCTCTTGTCCTAGTGGTCGCCTCTCTAGTGGCCCCAATGGTCGTTCAACCTTCCTTCTGTACACACTCCGTCAATTAGATTTCACAGGTACGTCAACGTCTGAGTGAGGAGTACGAAGGCTAGTGTCGACCATGACTTGCAAAGGAATGATAACGCCCTCTGTTGACAATACCACACTGTGTTGTCTCGTGTGTATCTAACTCTGTAGACTCACCCAGGACCACAAACTCAAAAATATTTCCTGGACAAATAATTACTGAATTGCTTTTTGCTTCCCTCGATAATCGCAAGTAAATTAATTAATACCAAAATTATATAAAATTTGATAACTGAAATAAGATAAAAATTATATGAAAAGATAAAAATATGAAAATTTAAATAATAAAATTGATATAATAACATTTATTTAAGTGTACCCATACGTGATCGAACCTGGGTACTTAATGTGTCGCGGTGGTGGGCTGTCCGCTATGCCACGGTCTATGGAATATGTGGGTGAGAGAAGAGAGATGTATGTGTGTGTGTGTGTGTGTGTGTGTGTGTGTGTGTGTGTGTGTGGGAGAAATATTAAGATGTGGTAGTGGTGGTGGTGGTAGTAGTGACAGTAGTGATTGTGGTGATGGTGGTAGTGACGGTAGTGATTACGGTGATTACGGTGATTGTGGTGGTAGTGATTGCGGTGATGGTGGTAGTGGTGGTAGGAGGAATGCCTAACACACATACATGACGGCCAATAACCCTCAACGCCTGCAGAAGACACGATTTATCCAGACATAAATAAACAGCACAGTAAGCTTTAGTTGATACCGAGTGACAAAAATAACCATCTGGCTCTGTTTATATACGTAGGTGAGAGAGAGAGAGAGAGAGAGAGAGAGAGAGAGAGAGATGGAGAGAAACAATCTGCCATCTAGACAAACCCAGACACAGAGACAGACACCGACAGACACAGAGACACATAAGACAGCAGCTACTCACCAGGATACATGTCAGCGTTGGAGGAGAAGAGGACACATAGGCCAGTCTCATAGTTGACGGCCATACAGGAGCTGTTCCTCTTACACATGTCGATACAGTCAGTGAGCATCAGAGTACCCGGCTGAGAGTCTAACATGTCCGCCGGCGCCGAGTACACGTACCCCGTCACCAGCTCGAAGGACACCTGAGGGAGTAGCCGAAGGAGGGTTAGTAATTGGTGAAGGAGAGGGTGGGAGGGTCGTGTGGGGAATGAGGAAGATGGGAGAGGATGGTATGGGGTTGTGAAACTGTGAGTGGGTCCCATAGGCGTCGCTGCCTTCGGTACACAAGGAGGCAGCATGGCCAGTACTGCACTCGACCGTTTTCATTTCCCCAACTTTACAGCTAGGCATCCATTTACAGCTGGTTGGACTCGGAGTACCCCGGGATCGAACCAACGACTATTAGGACAGGAGGCGAGTGTTGTATTCACTCGGCCGCCGCACCCCTACAATAATCTTTCAACACCAGGCAACACTGGGAAATATAATCAACATTCTATTTCACGAGACGACTAATGGGTAGGGTGAAGGCAGAGCGAGGAAAGATATTTTTTATCTTAATTCTTCACTAGTGGACAGAGGGAAGTGAAAAGGCACAACACAATTGATCATTTCACCTGGTTAGGGGGGCAGCCAGTCAGCTGGGCGTTCGTGGATTCAAAGTCGACGTCGAAGGAGGACCCGATAGGTATGGCAGCAGGGGCAGGGGAAGGAGCAGGGGCAGGGGCAAGGGCAAGGACAGGGGCAGAGGTGGCAATCCCTTCTGCATCCTCCTGGGCCATGGCTGAGCCAAGCAGGGCCGCCGCACACACCAGGTAGGGCAACACTCGGAAGGGCAGCATCTTCACTACCACGAACATACGAGTCTGCAGGGGAGAAGAAGAGAGGGCATTAGTGAACACTGACCTTTAGAAACATAAATATATAAAACATACAGTATCTCACGAGAACCATTTAAGGGACCTTCCGTGTTTACATGGCAAAGACGTCACATTATGTGTTTACATTTGTATTTGTACTGTGAGGTCTTAAGTGTTCCGAGAAAAATAATGTTTCAACATCTATTGTCACGCACTTGTCAGGGTTTACGTCACGTGCATCGTTGAGACAACATTATCCTGAAAGATCGGGGTAAATCTGAGGAAAATTATATTTGTAGTTGAGCAAAACGCGTCAGCTGCCAAACAAAAACAAATCCTTCGTGAGAAAAGCAAATGCTAGAAGTGCTGGGCAGATCACATCCCACCAGGAGCAACCTGATGGAGGTACACGAACCTTCACCTAGGACTGAGAAAAGAATCTCCTGATGGAGTAAACACAGAGCCAGGATGCTGATAAAAGGCCTGGTGATGTTACGACCATGATCTCCACTCACCACACAATGACGAGGAACATTACGGTTACCACAACACGCTAGAGGTGAGTCATTCCTCTCTGTTGACGACTGTTTCCTTCCATGGTTTGAGGGAAGTGATATAGCCAGATAACACACACTGATGCACCTACCTCGTCCAACACGTTCTGAACTGCCGTTATGTTCTATACTTAGTTATGAACCGTATGATCGAGACGGAACCAGATGTGCGTTTACAAATTGAGGAGTTACCCATTATGTGGTTAGACTGATATTAAGTAGTCATTGAAAACAGACCTTCGTGATGTACTACACAGTCCTAGTATTTGACGGAAGAATATTTTGTTTGTATTTATCATAGAACATATTAAAGAAATTCCACAACAAGTTTATCTAATGAACTAAAATCGCGTATAAGAAATTTTGGTATTATAACTTATTTTCCCATCTGTTAAATCTTTAGGAACGAATTTCTAACACACCTTAATATTTACTCCCACAATACCGACTCCGTAAGTAGAAATGGTAGTCCAGGTGTCGAAGTCTTTGACAAATAAGAGTTTCAAGGCAATAATCCGAACTTTGAGCAGGATCGACACGCACGAACACAGGAGTCATTACTCGCCCTAAGATGTTTCACTAAGGCTCACCAGACACACGAACAATTAAGGCATACATATACTTGTTTTGAACCAGTAATGATATCTATAATTGCTGTGGTTCCTCGCCAGCCTTACACACACACACGGAGTAGAGAGAATAACACCTCATTATACTTTACACTTAATCTTTCCTTCAGTACGCAAGATGGTACACATAAACAGTACTTCGCAAAACCTAATCATTTCTTATCAATGTTTTTCTTCTCTATTTTTGGCTTCACCGAGTTGTTTATCAATCATCGTCCACCATCACGTGAGTTTAATTTATTTTTACTAATATATCAACGAACTAATTATACACCTTTTTAGACGATAGCCCCAAATTACATCATTATGAACTCCAATCAGGATCAACGCATTAATATCCATCATCTGGGGAATTATTAACATTCTAAATCATTTATTGTGGTTTTGTTAATATTTTTTTAATGTAAACACACAAGCAGAAACGTATATTAACATTACAGTATTACATTTCGTTGTCTGTATCCCGGCCACTGACAGGCATCTTGGAGAGCCACAGAGCCTGGGTTGTGGTCAGAGAGAGTCCTGGTTATATTCGTCTTTATTCTATCACGCCACAGGGTCGAGTGTCCCTTGAGAGGTACCTGTGATGTATATATTGTTCTTGGATAAATTAAGGTAAACATTTCGTGTCGACAATGTAACAGAAAATTGAAGAAAGTGATGGATTCGCTTTGGTAATTTATCTTGCTTCTGTTATATTCTTTCTTTACTTTTTCGATTTCTTTCTTTTTTCTTTCTTTCTTTTCATCGTTTTTGTAGAAGCCAAAGGAAGTCATTGTGGCTAACTAACATAAGAACGCTGTTGTTTACGATCGATAAAAATACAAATTAAATTGTAAAGCCGCCAGTTGTTAATAAGATAAAGTCTAACTCGAATTCAGTTAACAAATTCAACATATATCCAACATAGATCTCATTAATTTAAACTTATTCACCCAGCGTTAAATTTGTTGGAATTCACAGATGTCGAACTCTTAACGCTTTCCACTAGTCCCGGTGAGTGTGTGTGTGTGTGTATGTCTCCTCCGGCGGTAGGAAGGTGACTGACTTGGGATCAACAACACTACGACCAGCTCGAGATCACTAAAACAAGATAGCATCGACACACAGCACAAACCGATACAACCACACAATTCCTAAACCATAAAGTCTGTGCATATTTGTAAATAATGAATAAATACAAATATAATTAAATAACAAACACCTATGCTAAAAATAAATTGTCACTCGGAATATATAACCCAGTTCAACACACGATAATGATATACAAATGTTTGTTAAATTACTGAGAGATTCTACTGACAGGTAGCAAGGGCAGTAGCTAGTGACAGTAGGGAGTAAGGGCAGTAGCTAGTGACAGTAGGTAGTAAGGGCAGTAGCTAGTGACAGTACGGGAAGAACAGTAGCTAGTGACAGTATATGGTCAACACAGAGGGAGGAGGAGTAGGTAGGAGGGGAGATATAGGGAGGAATTATACACCTGGCCCATACCTGTGGCTCACTAATGAGTCGTGAGGTAATGACTGTGGTAAGGTGCTGGTAATGGTGTGTGTGTGTGTTAAAACTCAATGTCTGGGTATATGTACAGTACTAGTGTTAGCGGCACGACGGGGTAGCAGGTCCTTGTCGGCCGTCCTCACCTACCAGATGGCTAAACAAATCCCAGTTATATTGTGAGAGGGAGGGAGGAAGGGGGAGAGAGAGAGGGAGAGAGAGAGGGGTAGGGGGAGAGGGAGAGCACTGAGAAGCATCCTCAACAACACACAACAGATGACTCTAAGCCACCTGTTGGTATACCTGAACGCCACCACCGCTACCACCACCAACTGGAATCAACACCACCCGAGTCTCGCCTTTACTTTCCTCCTCTAGAAGGTCGAGAATCCTATCTTTCATCATTGTTGTGGTCGTGGCAGCGGTAACTATGATAAACAGTGAGTGTAAATCTGTGGATGATACTTGTGTTAGTGTCGGGTTGAGGTGAATCAATCCTTCCTGTAAATCGTTCTCACGTTTGTTATGATATATAAGACTGGGAAGTGAAACAGCAAATCACTCTAAACGTGTTTTATATAATTCTATCGGTAATAAGTTTCATTCGTTTTAGTTCGATTTCATTATTCTTTTACTCTTGTTATCGGTGAAGTGAACAGTAACTAAAGGAACTAGAAAATGAAAACAGGGGAACTAAACCAAATACACAATAATACAAATACCATAATGTTGAGAAAAACTTACAGACACGGAAGAACAGACCAATAACCCGAATCCAATTACAGGAAAGCGATCAATATGAAATCAGTCAAAGAGTAAAACAGTTAAATCAACAGAAGAAAAACCAACTAAAAACCACAAATGTTGGTTGGTGATGTTAGCCAAAATACCGAGGGACCGCGAATAGCACAAGCGCCAAGTTGAAAGGACTGTTCAAACGTCGATTGCAAAAGGATTCAGGAAGCAATACCTTTAACAACCATCGAGGAAATGACGTATTAGAGTAATCAACGTCAATTACAAGCGAGAAGGAAATTGCAGTTGAGGAAATCATAGCAACAGGAGGGAAGGAGGTAGGTAGAGGTAGGCATTATAAAGGCTGGCCACGAAACACCTGTTGGAGGAGGAGGAGGAGGAGGAAGAACAAGGACGAGGAGGGTCAGGGACATTGTTCTTCCGTTGGAGGTAAGACGAGTTTCCGGAACTAACCTCAAATATGCCTCCTCCACCCACACACACACACACACACACACACACACACACACACACCCACACACACACACACACACACACACACACACACACACACACCTACCTCCCCCTCCCTCTCTCTCTCTCTCTCTCTTACTTCCCACTCCTCGCACCTATATCACTTCCCCCTCCCTCCAGCACGATGACTTTTGAGAGCGTTACAGGGAAATTACGTGCGTGTGTGTGTGTGTGTGGGTGTGTGTGTGTGTGTGTGTTGCGGTGATGATGATAAGTTGTAGACGCCAAAAAGCCCACATGCAGCCACCAGGAGAATGACCCCCAACACCCGGCTCAAGGAGGACTCCCCATGACAGCGCTATACAACACTGACCAGATACTCTAACACAACCAGAGGAATTTTAGTCGATTCGATCCCTAACTGGAAGATAATAACGCTCGAATTATTACTTAACCTGAAGCTACCATAACCACACATAAAAAAAATAATAATAAATGACACAAAAAAATTCTTCTCTTGGGTTCAATATCAACAAAAATCAAACCCAGCTTCACCTCGAAACAAGACCCGTTGTTGTATTTCAATTAACCTTACAACCTCTACATCCACGACACTGATCTACCTGAACGTTAATGGCTCAGGTGACCATTCCCCAGGCGGACGGGACAAAATATTTCACGCACGTACTACTCTGCCTTGTTATATTCCTACGCCGCTGACGCCACAAAAAGAAAAAAAAGAAAAGAAAAGAAAATGCAATCTCTATAACTAGCGTAGCATCTGTAATGGGGGGAGTATGTTATGACTCCCGCAGGTGAAGTACTGACGGGGAGGGAGTACCTTAGTCTATTGTGGTACGTGAGGCCAGACCCACGGTATACTAGCTTAGTGTCAGCTGGGGTACTGTCACTCACCTCTCTCTCTCTCTCTCTCTCTCTCTCTCTCTCTCTCTTTCACTTTATGTCTCTGAGTCTCTTTTTCACCCTGTCTCTCTTTCTCTCTCACACTATCCGTCTGTCTCTCTATCTCTCTCCAGACGAAAACCCCGCCGAGAGCTACAGGAGGATGAGGGCACCTTACCATCACAATTAAAGTCCACCTGCGACACGTACTCCTACC